GCGCACACCCAACTCGCGCCACATAAAAGCCTCAGCAGCCACCTCTCGCTAGACAAAACGGAAACAGCACTCGGTGAGAGAACAAAGCAAGCTGTAGCTTTATCTACATTTCCACGAGTCTTACTCTACCTTATTGAAGCGATAAACGATAGAGAAACATGGAAAACAAAAATACTAGCTCCCTTGCTGAACAGAAACTAGAAGCTCTCGAATGCAAAGAGGATTCACTTCTCCCTATCGCTGAGAAGGGACTTTTCTTCCACGATTCCTTTTTCGAGGATATTCGCAAGCACTTTGAGACAGCCATCGACCAAATGCTGGATTCGTGGGGAGAAGCCAAATCCGTGAGTGATCTGATGAGTAGCTACAGACGTGTAAGAGACCGCAATCTGCAGCAGGAGAACCAAGTCATGGCCTTCAGCGAAGACGATCAGAGTCACAAGGTAAGTTCTACAATCAAAAATCCATGTGGATCCCAAAAACACTGATTTAAATATTTATTTACATGAAAAGAAGAATAAAAAGATGTTAAAAAACTGTTGAAATTGAAGGTTAGGAAAAGTATTTAGATATTTATAAAAAAAACAAAAAAACTCGATTCTATATGCAGGTTGTACTAGATGTTCATGACTTCAAGAGTGGAGACGTTAAGGTCAGAGTGGAAGACAATCAAGTGGTAGTTGAAGGTCGAGTGGAAAAGGAAGAGGGCGACTTCAAGTCCATGAAAAGCTTCTGTCGACGTTTCAACTTCCCAGGCAAAGTGGACATGGAGGCCGTGACTTCCGCAATGTCTTCCGATGGCGTGTTGACTGTCACGGCTCCGAAGATTCCACAGGCAGCATAGGAAAACATATTTCATTAACTGGAACTGTAATCTAATCTTAAAGACAATGTGTTTACGGAGTTATTTATTGTTATTTTTGATAATAAAATAAATAATGCTTTTGCTCGTTTATAAATAAATTGTATTTGTTTACATGTGTGTATGATTTTACTTGCCTTACCTTTTCGCGAAACTGTTTTGATAACAGATGGTTACCTAGGTAGGAAGTGTTTGATATATATACACATATACATATGGTATGTTATAATTTCTCTATCTCTCTATATTTGCATGTCTGTTTGCGTGCGCGCCCGTTTGTACATATACATATATGTACACTTATACTGTCCTCACACCAATACACACAAAGCATTTTTGTGTATGTTGAGGCGCATTTTTACCGCAAGATAATTCAAGATTTTTAAAAAATTCTTGAGACATCCTTCTTGTCACCTCAGTTAAGGTGAGAACTAGAAGTTTCACAAGATTTCGAATGAAGATGTTGCCAAGCGTGCCATAGTCCCACGTCCAGAAGGAGGTGGAAAGTGGGCGCACACCCAACTCACGCCACATAAAAGTCTCAACAGCCGCCTCTCGCTACACACAACGGAAACAACACTCGGTGAGAGAACAAATCAAGCTGTAGCTTTATCTACATTTCCACGAGTCTTACTCTACCATACTCAAACGATAAACCAAAGAGAAATATGGAAAATATAAATACTACCTCCATTGCTGAACAGAAACTAGAAGCTCCCGAAAGCGAAAAGGATTTACTTCTCCCAATCGCTGAGAAGGGACTTTTCTTCGACGATTCCTTCTTCGAGGATATTCGGAAGCACTCTGAGACAGCCATCGACCAAATGCTGGATTCGTGGGGAGAGGACAAATCCGTGAGTGATCTGATGAGTAGCTACAGACGTGTAAGAGACCGCAATTTGCAGCAGGAGAACCAGGTCATGGCCTTCAGCGAAGACGACCAGAATCATAAGGTTAGTTTTACTATCTAAAATCCATGTAGATCATAAAAAAACACTGATTTAGATATTCATTTACATGAATAAAAAAAAAACTTTTCAAATTGAAGGTTACGTAAAAAAAAAAAAAATCTATGTCACGCAAACAGTACTTAGATATTCATTAAAATTAAAATGAAAAAAAGGACAAATAAATACTCACTCCATTCCAATATACAGGTTGTACTAGATGTTCACGACTTCAAGAGTGGAGACGTTAAGGTCAGAGTGGAAGATAATCAGGTGGTGGTGGAAGGTCGAGTGGAAAAGGAAGAGGGCGACTTCAAGTCCATGAAAAGCTTCTGTCGACGTTTCAACTTCCCAGGCAAAGTGGACATGGAGGCCGTGACTTCCGCAATGTCTTCCGATGGCGTGTTGACTGTCACGGCTCCGAAGATTCCACAGGCAGCATAAGAAAACATATATCATTAACTCTGATCGTAACATAATTTTTAAGACAATGTATGTTTAAGTAACTTATTATTTAGGATAATGTTAAAAGGAATGAGACATTTTTAAAAATAAATTATATTTGTTTATATGCTTGTTTGACTTTACTTGCCTTCCTTTCTCGCGAACTTATCGAAAAAAACACCGACTGTCATAGATTGCATAACAGATGGTTCTCCGAAAGCACTGAAGAACAATAACAGTACCAAATGCAAAGAGATATCACTACTTCATTATTTTTCGAACATACTAGTAAAACTTAATAATGGTCTACCGAGCTGTCGCAATAGATGCATAACAGATGGTTCTTCGAAACTCTCGAGGAGATAACCTTTACCAAATGCAAAGATGATCCACTATTTGTATCAGTTGTGACCTGTGCCTTCGTGCCCCTTGATATACAATTATGTCTCCGTTTGTACATGTACATATTTGTACATTGATGTTGTCCTCACACCAATAAAAAGTATTATGTAATTTCAGATTTCATGAAAATTCTTGAAACATCCTTCTTGGTCAGATATCTTGGTCTGGTTTCGTAACCAAACAAAACATTTTCAAACTGAATCCAGAGGAAGTCTGCTACACTTTGATGGCGTCATAATAGTAAACAGACCGACAACGTCGCCGACAAAAATGGATGACAACGATTAAATTCTCGTAATAATCTTCTTATTTTGTTGCCAATAGATGATGTTATAAACTAGCAAGTTGTTATATCTTTACCTACCAGAAGTATTAAATGGAGTATAATGAGAGCTTTATTATTCTCAAGAAAAAAAGAAAAAAAAAAAAAGAGTACAAGATATTCATAACTGTATTATGGCTATCCTGGGATGTTCAAAGTGCATTTTTATTTACGCATGTTATTTCCATTCTAAACTCGCAGTTGAAAAACACATCTTTGTTATGAATGGTAGATATTATCCTTTTAGATTTGCTCTAAAGTCTCTGGACTAATTTTTTTTTCAATTTTTTATATAAATTTTGTGCGACGCAATATTTTGAAATCCTTATTTCGTTTATCTTCTTCAGTGAATGCAAAACCACTATAAGAAAAGATTTCTTCGCCGGTAATTTCACTTACATTACTTACAGCGTCTACTGTTCTCTTCTCCGAATGATTCTGTCTCTCACTATTTCGTATTGCGGTCGTTTGTTTACATTGATAGCAAGCTGGAAGTTGATTCTGTCTTTGACGAATTCGGGAAGGCGAAGCAAACCAAACCAAACTATGGCTTGCTCGCGTTTCTCGTCAAAAATGAGCCTTATGTATTTGTGTTTGCGTATGCATGTGCTTCTTTGTATTCAATATTTACATATATATGCATATCTCATTATGTGTGTATATACATACATATATGTGTATATATGTGTGTGTGTGGGTGCGTGTGTATGTGTTAGTGCGCGTATGTGTTCTTCTTGTTCTCTATATAAATAATCATCACATAAATAATGGAAAATATCTATAAGAATGAATTATTAGTATTTAGGCATTTTTCGCAATGTTATATCGAAAGCATTCATCTCAGGTAAGGTGCGAACTAGAAGTTTCACGAGATTTCGAATGAAGATGTTGCCAAGCGTGCCATGATCCCGCGTCCAAATGGAGGTGGGAAGTGGGCACACACCCAACTCGCGCCACATAAAAGCCTCAACAGCCGCCCTTTGCCAAACACAACCGAAACAACGCTCTTTGAGGAAAAGCAAGCTCTAGCTTTATCTACATCACCGCAAGACGTACTCAATCTTACTAAAGTGATAAGCGATAGAGAAATATGGAGAACAAAAATACTAACGCCCTTGCTGAACAGAAACCAGAAGCTCCCGAATGCAAAGAGGATTCACTTCTCCCCATTGCTGAGAAGGGACTTTTCTTCCACGATTCCTTCTTCGAGGATATTCGGAAGCAATTTGAGACAGCCATCGACCAAATCCTGGACACTTGGGGAGAAACCAAATCCGTGAGTGATCTGATGAGTAGCTACAGACGTGTAAGAGACCGCAATTTGCAGCAGGAGAACCAAGTCATGGCCTTCTGCGAAGACGACCAGAATCATAAGGTTAGTTTTACAATCTACTTTATGTGGATAAAAAAAAAAAAAAACATTGAATTAGATATTCATTTACATGAATAGAAGATTTTTTTTTTTTCAAATTAAAGATTATACATATATAAGATCTAGGTCACGCAAATAGAGTATTTAGATAACCATGAAGATTAAAAAGGAAAGGAAAAAACAAAAAAAAAATAGAGATAAATATTCTTATTCGATTCTATACAGGTTGTACTGGATGTTCATGACTTCAAGAGTGGAGACGTTAAGGTCAGAGTGGAAGACAATCAGGTGGTGGTGGAAGGTCGAGTGGAAAAGGAAGAGGGCGACTTCAAGTCCATGAAAAGCTTCTGTCGACGTTTCAACTTCCCAGGCAAAGTGGACATGGAGGCCGTGATTTCCGCAATGTCTTCCGATGGCATGTTGACTGTCATGGCTCCGAAGGTTCCACAGGCAGCATAAGAAGACTTATTTCATTAACTGAAACTATCATCTAATATTAAAGACAATGTATGTTTAAGGAATCATTTAGTGTTATTTTTGATAATGTTAAAATGGATGATGCTTTTGCTCTTTTATAAATAAATTGTATTTGTTTACATGTATGACTTTACTTGCCTTCCCTTTCCGCGAAACGGTTTGGATAACAAATGCTTACCTAGGCAGGAAGGAATTGAAATATATACACACATATACTTATGGTATGTTATAATCATCTTTCTATCTTTCTGACTCATTATATATGCATATTTATGTGTTTGTGCGCGCGCATGTTTGTACACATCCAAATTTGTATGCTTACATTGTCCTCACACCCATACACACAAAGTATATTTGTGTATGTAGAGGCGCATTTTTGACCGCAAGATAATTCAAGATTTCTTGAAAAGTCTTGAAACGTCCTTGGTCAGATATCTTGGTCTGGTTTCGTAACCAAACCAATCATTTTCTAACTTCCTCCAAGAAGAAGTCTGCTACACTTTCAGGACGTCATAATGATAAAGAAACCGCCAACATGGCCCACAGAAATGAATGATAACGACGAAATTCTCGTGATAATTTACTTGTTTTGTCGCCAATACATGATAATATATACTAGAAATTTATTTTATCTACCAGAAGTATTAAATGGAGTATATTATTCTCAAGAAGAAAAGTACTAGCTATTTATAACTGTATTTTGCCTATCCTGGGATGTTCGAAGTGCCCTTTTATTTACCCATGTTATATCCATTCTAAACTCGCAGTTTGGAAGACCCATCTTTGTTATGAGTAGTAGATGATAACCTTTTAGACTTGCTTTATAGTGTGTGGATGTTTTTTTTTTTTTATATAACTTTTCGTCGGTGATTTCACGAACATTACTAACAGAGACTACTCTGTTTCCTTCTGCGAATGATTCTGTCACTCATATCTCGTATTACGGTCGTTTGTTTACATTGATAGCAAGCTGGATGCAGGGTCTGTTTTTGACGAATTCGGCAAGGCGAAGCAAACCAAACCAAACCATGGTTTGCTCGCGTTTCTCGTCAAAATGCGTATGAATGTGCTTATTTGTATTCAGTATCTACATATAAATGCATATCTCTATATATGAGTGTATGTGTGTGTGTCTGTGCTTGTGTGTGTGTATGTGTTTGCGCGGGTGTGTGTGTGTGTGCGTTAGTGCGCGTATGTGTTCTTAAGTATATATGAATAATGGCCATATAGATGATGGATTATACTTATAAACGCATACACACACAAAATAGATTTCATTCATTTTCACAAGCTTGTACCAAGCTTGCCAAGAGTGCCTTAGTGATGCGTCCAGAAAGAGGTGGAAAGTGGGCGCACACCCAACTCGCGCCATATAAAAGCCTCAACAGCCGCCTCTCGCTAGACACAATAGAAACAGCACTCGGTGAGAGAACAAAGCAAGCTGTAGCTTTATCTACATTTCCACGAGTCTTACTCTACTCTATTGAAGCGATAAACGATATAATATGGAGAACAAAAATACTACCTCCCTTGCTGAACAGAAACTAGAAGCTCCCGAATGCAAAGAGGATTCACTTCTCCCCATTGCTGAGAAGGGACTTTTCTTCCACGATTCCTTCTTCGAGGATATTCGGAAGCACTTTGAGACAGCCATCGACCAAATCCTGGACACTTGGGGAGAGACCAAATCCGTGAGTGATCTGATGAGTAGCTACAGACGTGTAAGAGACCGCAATTTGCAGCAGGAGAACCAAGTCATGGCCTTCAGCGAAGACGACCAGAATCACAAGGTTAGTTCTACAATCTAAAATCCATGTGGATCGCAAACAAATAATTTAAACATTCATTTACATGAATAGAAAATTGTTTAAAAAACTTTTCAAATTTAAGATTAGGTTTAAAAGAGTATTTAAATATTAATATAATAAAAATGAAAGACAAAAATAGAAAAATAAATACTCGATTCTATATACAGGTTGTACTGGATGTTCATGACTTCAAGAGTGGAGACGTCAAGGTCAGAGTGGAAGATAATCAGGTGGTGGTGGAAGGTCGAGTGGAAAAGGAAGAGGGCGACTTCAAGTCCATGAAAAGCTTCTGTCGACGTTTCAACTTCCCAGGCAAAGTGGACATGGAGGCCGTGACTTCCGCAATGTCTTCCGATGGCGTGTTGACTGTCACGGCTCCGAAGATTCCACAGGCAGCATAACATATATCATTAACTGTGATTGTAATATAATCTTAAAGACTATGTATGTTTTAACTACTTATTATTTAGGATAATGTTAAAAGGGATATATATTTTTTAAATAAATTACATTTGTTTATCTGCGTGTTTGACTTTACTTGCCTTCCTTTCTCGCGAACTTATCGAAAAAGCATCGACTGTCATAGATTGCATAACAGATGGTTCTCCGAAAGTATTGAAGAAAAAATAACAGTACTAAATGCAAAGAGAAATCACCAGCTGTCACAAAGATTGCATAACAGATGGTTCTTCGAAACTCTCGAGGAAAATACCTTTACCAAATGCAAAGATGATTCACTATTTG